TTTTTCGCTACGTTATAGGAATTTCCGTTATAGGAACGTACGTTATGGGGGGGGTCGACTGTACAAGTATAAGGTACAAAGTAATAATAGTATGGTTTGCTATGTGGTACTTAAAAAAATGAATCGTTTTGTTACACAATGATTGAAATCTCAGAATTACATAACATTTTGTAAACACTCCTACCTCCTTGTAACACATGATAGTGATTATTTACATACCCATCTACATCTAGGTTACATAATTTATGGACAGGCCTAGGGTCTCAATATTTCAATCAGGATATCAATAGACTTTGTTCTAATAATTAAAATGCAAGAATTTTCCATTATGTGCTATTTGAAAGTTTTATTGTTTTATTAAACAACAAACCAATATGAAACAGATGTGTTGTCAAAATAAACAAATCAATGCCTCATTCCAAGGATCTCTATGTATTAAACAACCTGCTTAAAGCCAGTACAAAAGAAAAATCCACAAAAGAGACTGCATCAGTAAGACCCATGTTATTTAAATTGAATCAAATGGAAATTGAAGGCTGGAAGCAGATCAATCCCAAGTCATGTCATGAAAATTGAAAAATGTCAGGACACTCAAAGTGCCACAATACCCAGACAAAGTTCTGTGACGATAATTATCTTATCACAGCATATGAGGAATTAGCTTTTCTGGAGCTTTCATTTATTGGGAAGATATTTCAATATACTTTTAAGAATTAATTATGCAAGAAGAGCATTTTATGTCCTGTTCAACTCCTTTTATAATATAGCCAGATTAAATAAGTTGTCTTGTACTGAAACAGTCTTCTAATAGTCCTGTCAGCACTTTTCCACAAATAGTGAGTTTACATATTAACATTTCCTGTTATAAAATGCTTAGTTATGAACCTTTCAGACAGTATGTTCTGAATATAAACAGAGTATATATTTTATTTTATAAAGCAAGCTCATAATGTTAGCCCATCTAAGTAATTCTTTGCTCACAATGACACGATAAAAAATTGATTTTCTAATGCTCAAAAACTTAGTGTTGACAAGGATATTTCAAATAATGAAAATGAGTTATGGCAGAATTGTATATCTTTAATATAATATAGAAATGACAAAGTATGAAAATATTAAATATACTTAATTGATGAAAGCCAATAAAAATTTAAATTTTAGATTCAAAATTTCACAGTTTATTATTATTAAAGGAACACATTTCCTAAATTTTGAAATTCTCTTAAGGCTGCAGAGAATGATCAAGATAAATGTCAATATTGTCAATCTGGTTTTCAAAATTTAACATTAAAATATAATGAATTATTACACAAATTCAATATATGCAATTCAATATTACACTGTAAAGATATAAGCATAATGGAAAATACCAATGCATAAACTCACTAACAAGTTTATTCAGTGTGTTTTCATTTAGAAATAATAATTATTCTTCCAAAACGGTAGTAGTATTTTTGGTATAGATGGAATGTGTTAAGTATGTTAAATTTAGGCTATACTAAGAGCAATTGCTCAGTACTTTAGAAGACCCAAGATACTAATTTTAATGGCATTCTATTCAGATCAATTTATTTCATTAATACAAACTCAGAGTTCAATTTGTTAATTTACAAGGAAATTGACAAATTGAAAATATTCAAAGAGAAAGCAATCCAGAGATCTGGCTAGACTAATCCAATAAAACACAAATAAGAAGTTCTAGAAACAGTTGTTAAAAAGCTTTTATAAGAGGCTGAACAATAAAGTCATTTTAGCCAAGGAATGGAATTTCAGTATCTGAGGCTAATCACAGCTTTATAATCAGTATAACCTATCATTGAGAGTTTAATCGTGAGAGGTAATCATATTTCCCTTTAAACATACGCACTGTAACATCTGTCATCTTAGTTTAGAATCCATTTTGTCAATATGCACATTAGTTACAAGCGACACATTAGATATGCAGAAGCATGTCACATACACAAAAATAACCAATCGGGCCAAGCAATAAACTTTAGAGTGTCAAATAAAATTTTAGCTGTCTGGAAGGAGTGCCTATTAGTTACATTTATTTCTTAGTTTTGTCTATATAGGAACATTTATTAGAGTTTAGTATATACAGTTATATGTCATTGTTAACTTAAAATGCATGTAGAATTCCATAAAATTTTTTGCTTGAGTTATAGAAAATGGAGAGAAATAAGTCACCTAGACAAACTACATCTAAGCTATCCTCTATATTAAGGAAATTCTGAAACTCCACACACTTATTGATTGTAAGTTTCACAAACCATTGTGATTTTGTATAGAAAAAAGTCAAGTCAAATTTTTTAAAAATGTTTTTAGAATGGATAAACTGTGATTAAGTTAATAATAAAAATAATAAAAATATTAAAATAGCTGAAATATTTGATCTTCAGATAATTATTGACTAATTGATTTTAAATTTGATAGTGCTAATTCAGTAATTATTTAATTTGTTAAAAGAATTTTTCCAACTGGATAGCTGAGTTTACTAAGAAAGCAGTAAATTATGCAAATCAAGTAATCAGGTTATAATGAAAGGAATATATTAGTGTCCTGATTACTCAGTTCAGAAGTCAGCAAATGAAATCAAACAAAAGCTCAGATATGCTAGAAGAAAAAAAATGCTATTAAAGAACGATAAATAAAACCAGTCTGTTTACCTATTAACTGCCTTAATGAGAAAACAAAATAGTTTATTAATTAGACATTAGGGTAAATAATGCCAAGGTGTTTCTTACATCAATTATCTCATTCTTCTAGAATGAAAAAGCTGAAATGAATATCTGACAAACCTATGAGAAATAACCAATAAGAATGTAAGATGAGATCTGCTCTTCATCAAGGACAAAAATTTGTAGTCAGTTTCACTGATTAGATATCATTTCACATTTAGTGCAAATCAATTGTAAAAATACTGCCTTCTGTTAGAAACTATCTTATTTAAACTTAACCAATAACTATCTGTAAATGTTAACATTTTGGATATGTAAAAGTCAGTAATCAACTATGTTGGTTGTAATAAATATCACGATTTTAAAATATTCTCACAAGATATATAAATGTAGATCCAAAAACAATGTGCATTATTATTGCATAAATATTTTAGCTATTTATTAGGATCAGCAAACATTTTTAAAACAAAGCATTTAAATAGGAATAAAGTATCAATAAATTTTGTAAACATGAAAGAAAGATTTATTCTATTAAAACATGAAAGATTTACTCTCATTCCTTATAACTGGCACAAATGTTACTTTTAGAAAAAAAACATTAAAGCTGTCGATCTAGCAGGCAGCAAAGGCCTTTACAGATTTGGTCAAGCTTACAAATGACAAGGAACGAAGTCCGACACACGGGCCAAACTACCAATAAAAATTTTAAAATAAAGCCACAGAGAACAGACAAATACCTTTACAATTTTGACTGTTAAAGAGTATACTCCAACAAGGGCCCACCAATGACCAAGCAATCCCGTTCCCCAAACACCAGGAGTTTGGTCATGGTTCACACCACACCAAAACGGGCTGGCCACTTGGAGGTTTCCAGGTTTCCTCCACGTCCATAATGCCCAAATAGGGACCAGTTACCCTTAAAAACACCTCCCGGAAGGCATTCCCCCTAGACCAGTGTTTCTCAACGGGGGCAATATTGCCCCCATGTGGGCGTTTTCTATGTTGAGGGGGCAATTAGTAACAATTTATATTTTGGGGGCAAAAAACAATTTTATGGGCAATATAGTAAAACATTATATTAAGAATAATTAGATATTTTATTTGTTATATCGTACAATAATTAAACAAAACATTATGCTAGTCACTAGTCTATTCAATGCAGTGAGAATTTGGTGTTAGCCTTGGCCCTCGGCATCAGAATTTTGAAGTGAAGGGGGCGATACTATAACAGTTTTATTGAAGGAGGTGACGATTCGTTAGAGGTTGAGAAACACTGCCCTATCACCTAGACAGATCACCCTAGTGATGCATTGCCATAACTAAACTAAAATACTCCCAAGCACAAGAGCTTGAAAATACAGTCGAATTTGTCTATCTCAAATTTCACAGAACAAGAACATTTGAGGCAGGTCGAGATAGAGGTTCCTATACAGTAAACAGTAGTAGGTGCAACTGAAGATATACTTTATTAATATAATAACAAGTATAGTATAGACCAATATTCGGTATAAAAAAAAGATTTTGACATACCTTAAAGTTTATCAACAATTTGCTACAACCAACTTTATTCAACCAGTAAGATGCAACCCAAACTCGCAGGTCTGAGAAAAGCAGAATTAATTGCAACTATACCGTATTGCAGGAGACGTTTCTCGATTACAATTTACGCCATTGAAATGTAGTCGCCGAGCTCCAAATTGACACGTCGGTCCGTAACTTCACATAGAGAGAATTATTTAAGACAAAAGTGGAAAATATATTGAATTTTGGCGAAAATGCAGGGGAAAAATAAAATTTCGAGATAAGACAGGTTCAACTGTATTAGTTCTGAAAGAACTAGAAGTAAATTGTGTATTATTAAATGAAATAGATTCAAATTGCTGTTATGTAGATAATTTTAGAACAGTGTTCATAACACAATCACCACTTGATAACATCATACATGGATATTAAATAAATATCAATCATACTTACATCATACAGGAGACTTAAATGATTCTTTTTTTAAGCATTAAAATACCAAATACTTCATGACTCAACACAGTACAAGCAAAACAATTACAAAATGATATAAATTTACACACAATTACGCATAAAAATCAAATTTTTTAATAAATAATTAAGAACAGAAGCTACACAGATGACATTTTTGTATTATTTAAGGCAATAAATATTAAATTTTTAACAAAAAACAAATAAAACTAGAGAGGAATTAAGCCTAACGGTATCCACCCCCTTCACCTTAAACTGTAGAAAAGTATGACAAATACGAGATATTTTCCGCGTAAATTCGCGAGTTAGTTGGTTTATGAGTAAACTTACATCTACTGCGGATATAAATAAATCTTCTGTATCCTCTTTTACAGCCGAATCGTCTTCTTCGACCAGAGGAGGTGGTACCCTATCATCCGCCATCTTGCTTACGCCTCTCGTCGGTAGGGGGAACCACTGAACGACCAACCGGCGCGACGTCACTGACACGTGTTATATATCAATCTGGAACATGTGGTTGGTTATGGAGATAACTTATATACATTTTGCTCCTTCTTCTAGCGATAAAATATTAATTCCATTCTAATATAAAATAAATTAAATTAATTTTAAAATAACCTATCACTGTTATTAAAACAAATTTTATGCAAATTTAAATATTATTATGGCTTAAGATGCATGTAAGAGGAACGTTAACCTTCTACAAAAGTGGATATATATATAATTTTTCAATTTTTTTAAAGTTTATTTAAATATTTACAGATTTAATTTCAAAATAAATAATTATTTAATTATTTTTTAAACATTTATTTCAGAAAAAGATCGTATCCAACTTGAAAGACAAAATTACAGCAATAAAAATATATTTTCGGTTATGTTGTTGTTGTAATCTGCCTAATAAAAATGTATGTAGTTGTATATAAAAATGGAACGAATTATTTATATATTTTAAAAATAAATTTATTAAATTTAATCGATTTAATTCATACTATTATCGAAAAGTATGAAATTCTAGAAAATTTATGGACTGATATCGACATTTGATATTTCAGATAAGATAAATCATGACAAAAAATTGAATTACTGAGAACAATTGATATTAATTAAATTTAGGCGATAATTTATATATATCGTTAATTATGCTAAATATATAGAAAAATATTAATAAAAATATCATAAATTTTGGTTTATCGGTTGCATAAATAATATATTTAATCATTTAAATTATATAAAGTATTTAAGAATAAATATTATTCAATTGATACGAATTATCTTGATTAAATATGTAAATATTAAAGCTCGAAGATTGAAGAATTTTTTAGTTTAAAGTGAATTAAATTGTATTTCCCCTCTATTTTTTTCCTTGATAATTCATCACGCGATAAGTTAGAAGATGATTTTTCTATCACGTAAACGTTAGATTCAACTGTTGCTTCGCTTCACCTATTTAAACAGTCATAAACCAATTGATAATCGAACTGTAACTCTATAAATTTCCTTAATTCCCGAAGAAAAACGTAAATTCATAGAAAAGATTTGATATTTATTTAAATTAATATATCCTGTTACAAACTTAAATTTCTCGGAAATAATTATAATTAATATTTTTCATTATTTTCAAAGTGATTTAAGCTAAACTTATTGCTAAATAGATGTCATTAAGTCGTATTCAGCTTCAACACCTACACGAAACGTTCCCAGAGGCTGCGGCACTTGGCGATGACGTGGATCGAACATCACTCCACTAGGATGGAGTTACGAGTCTTCTAAAGAAAATATTTGATTGATTCTCTAGCTAAATAGGAGGGAAATAAGAAGATGTGAATCTCTAGGATACTCCAACAATCGAGTCTTAATTAAATTTCCTACTAGATTGGCACTCCAGTCTGTAATTGGAATTAGTGGCGACGTTAAGGTAAGATCCAGCATGTTTGCTATATTTGACTTTATCAAGTATTAAGATCCTTTCAGACAATTTTATCCAGATTAATAAAATTGCTAATTACATTGTTTATTTTTGTAATTGAATAATTTTAAACATTGTAATTGATTAAATTATTAAATAATACATTGAGTTTATTGTAAGAGATTATTTTTACTAATTTTAATCAATTTCTAGTTAATTGTGATTAAGAATGTCATTAAATTGAAACTGATTATTATTCTGTACAGCTGATTCTGAAATTGAATGCTTTTTTTTTTCTTTTTTTTTAATTATTCAAAAGAACGAATTGAGCGCAGCTTCTCCTCAAAGCAGAGATCTAAATTGTGACTATTTTTTGCGTTTTCTTCTTATTTTTTCAAAAGTAAATAACAGAAATTCGACGGTGTAGAGTTTTAATAATAAGCACAAAACATTATATTTTCTTCTAAGGAGAATATTAAATTAAGATACTTATCTTGGTCGTCTTGCAAGTTGATTGATGACTTTAATGACTGCGCCTAACCTAATTTAAAACTTTAATGATTTTTGGTCATTTTTATACAAGAAGTTAATCATGTTAACGATGATAAATAACAAATGAACCAAACAGAAATTATTTTTATCATGTTCGAGGGATTTTAAAAAGATTCTTTTCCTGTACCGGTTTCGGTTAGACTAATTTAAATTTAGCTACAGATTTCTTTTTAAATGAGTTAATTTTTTTAAAATGATGTTAATGTTTGACGTGTTTTGAATCGATCGAAGCTTCGTATAATGCAATTTTTAAAGATTATTAATCGATTTTGCTTCCTTTCAATCGATTGTGATGCGGCATCGTCTCGTAAATAGAAGAATCGATTTTGCGATTATTTTACATGGACACCGTTCTAATAAATGAACGTTATTTACTTAGGAAAATCCAATGGCCGAAACGTATATAGTGGAACAAGAAGTAAGATGATTATGTATACACTTATTTATTATTAATTTATTAAAAGTTTTAATCAAATTTGTATTTAATTAGTGCGTCAACGAAGTGGAATACATGAATATTTCAGTGACAAATCAGCAAAAAGTGAAAAGTTTAGCAGGGTCTTATGTCATGTATAAGATCGAAACCACTACCAATTTTCGACATTTTGACAAAAGAACGATGACTGTGACGAGAAGATTCGGTGATTTTATTGGTCTATACGAAAAATTACGCGAAAGATACGAAAGTGAAGGACGTATCATCCCCCCTCCACCCGAAAAGAAGACTCCTGGTAAGTGACCAATACAAAAATTATCTCTTATGGAAGTTATCTGTAGTGTGTTCTTATGAACATATTAAGATAACAGATGCTGGAAGCATCCACAACGTTAAGAGAATCTTCAAGAGAGACCCTAACTTATCATTTCTAAATATAGGTGCTAAAAAAATCCAGTTTATCTCCTCAATTATTTTAATAATTTAATTTTATATTCCAGTTAGCGAAAGAATTTCAAGAATGAGGAAAACCGATAAAGTTTCTGAATGGAAGACCTCAGCACTTCAACGCTATCTTAATCGCTTGGCCAGACATCCAGTACTCAAATATGACCCCATTTTAAGAGAATTTCTAGAACTGAAATCGGTTATACCACGTTCTTATAGAAGATCGCCATTTTCTGCAAGGACTATACGTTGTCATTTCAAGAAATTAGGAGAATCAATGGGTAGAATATATGCTATGGATGATGATGAACCCGTAAGTTTTCAACTTTTCCTTAGTCAATAATAAATTAAATAATTTTAGACAGTTTAAAAGAAAAATTCTGTTTGTAAATCATTGGCTGAATATCAAATTTCTTTGACATTTCTTCTTGGAATCGTTCCAATTCAGAAGTAATCATTATGATAAACCAAACAAACAAATCTTGCAGTGAAGGAAATGTTAAGAATTTTCTGTTGTAATATATTGATGATAATATTTTGTAATTTTATTTTAAAAAATATACATTTTCTAGTGGTTTAAAACTAAATACCAACATCTGGATACCTTAGAAGATAATTTGAAGAAATGGTTAAACAGCATCGCTACTGTTATATGTCAGAGACAAGGTTAGTGATGACTATTGTGAAATATTATCTTTTTATCTTATTAATTTACACTCCGTCGACTCGTAAATAATTATATAATCATCCAGTTATAATGGTTAGATAATTAACTGTCTGGTTTTAAATTTTGATCAAGGACAATTTACGATGATAACAAAATATTTGCTTTGTTAAGATGTAAATGTAACAATTTTCATTGTATGTGAAGCGATAATTCGCTAAATTAGACGAATGGAATGCTATTTTTTTCCTTAAGTGAAATCAATATACCTTAATTTGCACTGTTTATCATCTTATTATCATATCAAATTTTGTTTTTATGTCATATTAATCGCTCTATCGATTTATTTTTTGACGCTAAATTAACTTCAAAACTGACTTTTAATAGGAAAAAACTTAAGAGAAAATGATTTTTACAGTGTCACTTTAATGATTTTTCGTATAACAGTAAAACCTGTTCAAAACGGAATCTGAATAAAACGGACACGTGCTTAAACTGGAAAGAATTCGGTACCGCGCGATTCTTGTTTACACAGGTTTTGCTGTAAAATTTATAGTTCTAATGTATATATGAAGGCCTAATATACATTTTTAAATACTAGATTTATAGACAAGCTAAACCAGATACAGTCGAACCTCTAATAACGTCCACCTCCCAACAACGACAAATTTTTATGTTCCCATCAGTGGTTCGACTGTATACAGCCTATATTTCTAAGAGGCCTTTCTAGCTAAACTAAATTATAATAAATACAAAATATTTAACCTTATTATGATTTAGTACAGCTAGAAAGACCATATATATAAATATCTTGTTTAGATTACATGCAAATCTCGTCAGTATATTAGAGCCTTAATATATACATTAGGACCATAGACACATTTAATATTTAATAACTCAGAAAGGGCCTGTATGAGTATTTGGATCTCATACGGAGTCTGATTTGAACATAAGCTGCAGCCTGTTAGGACTTCATATTTTTATATATATCATTATTTCATAGAGGGAAAGGGCCTGTTATATGTTATACTGGTTGTGGCCCTAAGCTATAAGTTTATAATCTAACGCTAACTGATCATCTTATCATTTAGTAGTGATAAAAATCTTGTCATTTTACAGCTTAGGGTTGTGCCTTTGGGGAAGACCACCCTAAGCTGTAACTTAAGGTCACAACAAGTGTAAATTGGTTGCTAAAGATAAAGCACATTTTCAGCTTAATTTTTGTTTATTTTTCTCTTCCCAATTCCAGCTTTATCTTCAGGTCTAGGTGAAATAGCCAGAGCAACTGCATTAGTCGCAGGTTGTGAAGAGAACAATATCTTTTCACGACTATTGTATAAAGTTGCAGAAGCACAAAAGGAGACTGAAGAGTTACAACTTCAAGAGGCTGAAAGTGATTATGGAACGTTATACGAACTGATAAAAGATTATATTATCCTTTTAGATGTGGTCAAGGTAAGTAACGCGCTAAAAATATTAGGACAAAAGATGCTCTAGAACTTGTAAAGCTCTTTAATTTGGGTGCTTCGGTAATTTCAAGCGTGAATAAGAATGAATTTTATGTATTGAGAAACAATTAGAGGTTGGAAAAAATATATTCTCGCTGCTGGAAAATCAATAATATTCTTAGAAAAGTTCTAGTTTCACCTAAGTTTTATGAACCGGTAACGTGTTTGAAAAACTTATGACCTTATTGAGCTTTCTATAGCTACAAAACTAATAACCCGTTCATAACAGTAACATTAGTTTTATTTCTTCACATATAACACAAGAAAAATAATCTTCCAGATACAAAGAAAGACAAATCCTTCAAGAAGAAAGTATAGAAAATCTAGAAAAATAAAAATTTTAATTAATTTTACTACTACTTTTTCTACATTTAGAATAAATTTTCAACGTTTAAATGTATTAAAATATTCACTTTAGCTGTTATTTATATTTAAAAAAACGCTTTTAAAATATTTTAAAAACATCTACAGTATATGCAAAAGGCGAATTTTTCAAGTGTAACAAGCATAGAAAACTTAAAAACAAATAAAATTTAATTTTTCTTTATTTCAATTATTTATTTATAATATTTCGACGATCCCACGCGCTTCAAAAAATTCTTATCGCTGTCAAAATTTTAAAAAATTACTTTAAAATGTAGATACAAAAAGTCGAATTCTTCAAGAAGTAAAGAAAATGTAAAAAGTAAATAAAATTTAATTAATTTTATTGAATTTTCTACATTTTAATCGCTTCTTTTTGTTGTTTCGACTTAATTTTCAATGTTTAAATGTACTCTTCTAGCCGTTCTTCATATAAAAAAATGCGATGCTTTATAGCAAATTTTCTTATAATAAACACTATAAAAAAATAATAAATTATTATGTTTTTCTAGCAAATATTTTGGGAGCGATTGAAAACAGTTCATTTGATTAAATTAGACGAACAAAAATTGATAGATAAGGTAAAGAGGATGCACAAAGAGACTGATTACTACAAGCAAGAGTGCTTAAGAGATATCATTTTACAGGTAAGAATATGAAAAAAATAAAATAAATAAATAATTTAACGATTTTTAAGGAGTTTCATGTAAAATTTAATAAAAAATCTCAGTTAGAATCGAAAATATACAACAAAAAACAATCCTTAACCACATTATCCAAAGTAATCCGTGAAGAATTCGAGCACTTTGAACAAACAAGATTAGGAGAATTCGAATCCGTGATTAATAAAAGACTGGAATCATTTGTGGGAACTCATCAACAGGTAAAAGTTTTTATAATTTTTCATAATTGAAGCTTAAAAAATTTTTTTAAATTAAAATTCTTCTTGTCTAGATGATTAACTATTGGAAAGCATTGCTACCAGAGGAACAGGGAATTGATTAAGATTTTTTTTTCTACTCCGTAAAAATACTCAGCAGAAACACAAAACATTCAAGTTAAAAGATTTATAAAGTGTAAAAATACACGAAATATTCCAATATTTAATAATATAAACAAAAAAACCGATAAAATTTACTAATCAAACTAATGGCCAGATTCTCTTTTGGGCTACAATAAAGCTAATTAATTGACTGAAATATTAAGCAATTCATCTGGAGGTAGGCGATTAGGTCGCCATCTCGTGTTAAAAATTCATAATATATTATTAATTAATTGGCCCGATATGAATCAGGCTTTTCGTTTGATTCCGATATTTGTTGATAATTATCGAATATTGTATATTTTAGAGCGCTTTTTGTATGGTTCTTCTACAAAATGTTGGCATATTAGCTGTGCTTCTTGGTGTTGAAGCATAATTTGTATGCAAATATATGCATAAAAAGTAGCTCTTGCTGCTCCTTTAGATGCTTTTTGTAATTTTGAGATGTATATTTGTTGACTTTTCTAAGCATTAAAAGCCATTTAAATATTATTAAAAAATTGTAAAAAAAATAAAATATTCTCTGTCTATATATATTTTGATTTAAATAAAGAAATTATTTGCAGTTATTGTTAAAAATAATGGAAAAATTTGAATATTTAGTTTAATATTTAAACGCGAGATGGCGACATCTGTATTAAATATTCTAATAGATATAAGTAGTAAGATTGTATTAACTTAAAATTTAAAAATTAATTTTTAAGTAAAATAATCTTAAAAAATTTAAAATATTTACAAAATTTTCTGTTTATAAAATTATAATATTTTAAATAATTTTATCGCTGTAAAATTCGAATGTTTTCAAAATTTCTCAAAAGATGGCACAATTCGCTTATTTTTATTTTTAACATTTCTAATTGCGTCATCATTGAATAAAACAAAAATTTAAAAAAAAGGCAAAAAAATTAATTTTAATTTAAAGTATTTTATTTTATTTAAAAAAATTTTCGACAATTTAAAATTAAATTTACTTAAATATTCCAGGAATGTTCACTAATTTAACAATTTTTCATTATGTAATTTTTTAACATCTAACGTGCTGCCGCCTGACGGTATTATTTTTAAATAATAATTAAAAAAAAATTCCAAACAATTCAGAAAAACACGAAATTATTTATTGTGGGATTATTTTAATAAATAAAATATAAATAAAATAATTAGTAAATATGAATAAAGTTGATATCGGATCTTGACGTAATTTTAATCCGTAATGCAAAGTGGCAAGTGAAGAGACTTTGACCAATTGAAGTCGACAGTTACTTCGCATTAACAGATAACGAATTCATGTTAATTTGATAGAAAACTTGCAAAAACATTGTAATTTCATTACCTAGTTAGAATCCCTCTTAACTTTATTTATTTAGCATCGTGTGAAACAGCACAGAAACAAGTATCCTATAGAACTGAAAAAAAGCCTAAATCAGAGTTAAAATATGCATATTAAATTGTATATATAACTTCTTCTGCCGATAATACGTTAGATAAACATGTTAGAAAGAATACATCAAAGTGCGAAGCGGAGCGAAGCGACGCGACTTCATTACAATTTCGTTCTTTAATTTAATTTAATTTAATAAAAAGGCATTCAAATGTAATTAAAATATAAAAACTACACACTTCGTTGTTTTAAGTTTATTTGTCGTTTTTAAATGTATATGTTCATTTGGTTTTAGATTGTCGAAACAGAGCTTGCGAAGCGATGCAGTTCGACGCGCAGCGTCTTGATTATTTTATTTTAAAATTCTATTTTATAATTAATTTCACGTAGAATAAAAGTTTTAATATTAATAAAGTAAAAGAAAATTTTTCATTAGTGTGTTCAATAACTTTAAAGTAATATTAAATTTTAAAAAATTAATTATAATTATTTATGGCATCGCGTCGCCTTTTAATGCTCGAAAAGTTTATTTTTCATTTTTAAATAGTAAAAAAAAACGTATTTATTTTAAATAATATATGTATTTAGCACAATTTGAGAAACGTTTTTATATAAAATTGTAATGAATATTCCCATTTTTGTGTAATATTTTTTTATTAAAATTCGATATCGAAGAAGCGAAGCGACGCGACGTGTCATTCACTCTTTAATCAAATAAAAGTGCATAAACTTAAATAATTTTCTAATAAATGAAGCAAAATAAAATTATATTAATAAATTAAAAATAATAATAAAATTAAAATAATAAAAACTACATTTTTTGTTTATAAGGAAATTATAAAATTAATAAAAGAAACAATTTCGCGTTACTTCGCATTACGTCGCGTCGCTCATCTTAACTTAATTTTTGGCAAATAACTTTAAATAATTACTGATATATATATCCAAATTTTATTTTTTTTAGGTTTGTTTAGAGTTAAGATATGATATTATTACAATATTTAACGAATAAACGTTAAATTATTTTAAAAAATCGAGTTTTTTGCGAAGAAAGTGATGTAGAACCTACATAAACTGTACAGATGGTTCATTGTTTAACCATTTTAAAAAAATATTGTAAGAGTTTTATGAAGTGAGAGAAGGAAAAAAATATATATATTTTGTAATATTTTCTTCGATATAATAACTTTTTTTCTTTTCTAAAATATTTTTTGTTGCTTTTATAACTACAGAAATTCAACTCACTATATAATAGCATCTTATAGATTGGTAAGAAGATAGCTTCTATTTTTAGAAAATAGAATAAATAAAATAAAATTTAATATATTTTAAGTTTTTTTAGCATTCCGGATCATTTTTTAAAATTATATTTTATTATTTTCTCTCCGTAAAAATTTTAAAAAATCGCCAAAACTCCAGATGAAATATGGGTAAAGCATTGCAATCATTCATCAATCTGACATTTTTTAATTAAGATAATTAAATATATAACACTTTTTCTCACTAGCAGATGGCGTAGCATGTTTCTTGCAAGTGATATTCTTAGAATAATTATGAATAATTAAGTATTTGAATATAAAAAGTCATTTTTATGAGGATAAAAAGTTTTAAATCATTATATAAAAAAATAACTATTACAAAAAGAATAAAAAGTATCAATTAACTTATATGATCCATCTTCTTCTTTAAAAACATCATTAGAATATAATGAACCTCATTAATTTGCTTTCATTGTCGGTTATTGCAGTTAATATTAATAAAGAGTAGGCAGAATTTTCGGGAAAAAATTATTATAATAATAATAAAAATGATAAATGCTAGTTTTTATTCTACTCAGAATCAATTTGTGTTTTACTAATTAATAAAAAAAAATCAAAGTAAGAAAAATAATGTAATTGTTATCATGGATGAGAAGGAGGACGAGGAGGAGAGCTGGAGATGGAGAAATGATGCTCTATATTTACGTTTATTTTATTTATATCTAGAAAAAGTAAGAAAAATGTTGTAAAAAATTTCGAATTCCTTAGATAAAATTTTATCAATCCTCTCATCTTAATCCAAGAAGATAAAATCTTCTTGGATTAAGATGAGAAAATTGATTAAGGATGAGATGAAGGATGCGGAGAAAGCGAGATGGAAATTGAGAAAATGATGCTTGATATGCACGTTTCTTTTATTTATATCAAAGAATATCAACGAAAATATTGTAAAAGATTCGATTTTTCTTCATTAGATCAGATTTTAATAATTTAAATATAAAAATAATCATTGCTTAGTGAAGTTAAATGGATCATTTAATTCAATTGTTTCCTTTGCAGTGGTTGACTTTTAATCATGCATTTTGAAATTTAGAGATGCTAATGATGCAATAAATGAAAGTAGTTACTATGGTAACGTCTTTCGGATGACCACATTCGTGTCTAACAATCATTCCTAGTTTCCAAAGTTATTAAATTCGTTCAATAGGCATTGTTAAGTTCGATATTAATTGAAAGAGAGGGCTTTGCCCCCCAGTAGTTCGGAGTGAAAACGTGGAAAAATCCAACCTTTGATCCACAAAATTAATAATTATGTGGGACGATTTTCGATCCATAAATTTCGAAATTTAATAATGGAAGCTCCTTATTTTCCATCATGGTCGGCATCTCACTTGTTGCTTTCTTCTTTGAATAAATCGTATATCATTATTAGTTTGTCAGAGAATATTCGTTGCTGCAGTCAGACAGACAGACGTGTGTGATGAGAATATTGAAAAAGGTGAAGAAATATGCAGTCAACGTGGTCGGCACCATTTCATATTCCAATCACAGACAGGAAGAAAAACATAGTTCTATCAAAAGTGTGCAGGATATGACAACTGTCGCCATTTTATACTTCTGTGTGTATCTTGAGTGCTCCTGTTATCATTCTGTCCGTTAACTGTCCGTTCGTATGTCTCGAAAGAACTTCTTTATGAAGTTGGAAGATCGAGATGACGAAAAGGATAGTGTGAGTTCCGTAATGGAGAAGAAATATTAACTTGCTGCTGAGATAAAGTGATTTTTCTTCAAGAAAATTGGTTGAAAACTTTACTTTTTAAATCGCTTAATCTTTTTATTCTTCTTAAGAATTAGTTTTTATTTATTATAAGATTATCTGAACTCTTCTTCTACATCAATTTTATTTTTTATTAAGCACGTAGCGAGAGATTTAATATTAATAAATTTTATGGAGTTTACAGGAGATTACGTTCTGATTTTTTTAAGTAACATTCTCCCATATTTTAGCCAAATTTTATGTTAAAATATACAATTTACAGCTAGAAATTAAGGAATTTGATATTAATTTATGCTTTATTTCTTTAGTACTGTGTGTGATATTCACTGACATCATCAGCAATATTTTATCATCATTTATCTTCAGCATCTCTGTTGCTCATCTTCAGATTTATCTTTATTTATTTAGTATCCTTAACGACACGTTTATAACAATTTTGTTTTACTGTTTTCATCTTCATCGTCTTTTTTTCCATCATTATGTTTTCTCCTCTAAAATATCATCTTTATTTCTTCAAGATCATCTCTCTCTCTCTCGCTATTCTTAGCATCAATTTTATAACTTTTCCTCTANGACTTCATATTTTTATATATATCATTATTTCATAGAGGGAAAGGGCCTGTTATATGTTATACTGGTTGTGGCCCTAAGCTATAAGTTTATAATCTAACGCTAACTGATCATCTTATCATTTAGTAGTGATAAAAATCTTGTCATTTTACAGCTTAGGGTTGTGCCTTTGGGGAAGACCACCCTAAGCTGTAACTTAAGGTCACAACAAGTGTAAATTGGTTGCTAAAGATAAAGCACATTTTCAGCTTAATTTTTGTTTATTTTTCTCTTCCCAATTCCAGCTTTATCTTCAGGTCTAGGTGAAATAGCCAGAGCAACTGCATTAGTCGCAGGTTGTGAAGAGAACAATATCTTTTCACGACTATTGTATAAAGTTGCAGAAGCACAAAAGGAGACTGAAGAGTTACAACTTCAAGAGGCTGAAAGTGATTATGGAACGTTATACGAACTGATAAAAGATTATATTATCCTTTTAGATGTGGTCAAGGTAAGTAACGCGCTAAAAATATTAGGACAAAAGATGCTCTAGAACTTGTAAAGCTCTTTAATTTGGGTGCTTCGGTAATTTCAAGCGTGAATAAGAATGAATTTTATGTATTGAGAAACAATTAGAGGTTGGAAAAAATATATTCTCGCTGCTGGAAAATCAATAATATTCTTAGAAAAGTTCTAGTTTCACCTAAGTTTTATGAACCGGTAACGTGTTTGAAAAACTTATGACCTTATTGAGCTTTCTATAGCTACAAAACTAATAACCCGTTCATAACAGTAACATTAGTTTTATTTCTTCACATATAACACAAGAAAAATAATCTTCCAGATACAAAGAAAGACAAATCCTTCAAGAAGAAAGTATAGAAAATCTAGAAAAATAAAAATTTTAATTAATTTTACTACTACTTTTTCTACATTTAGAATAAATTTTCAACGTTTAAATGTATTAAAATATTCACTTTAGCTGTTATTTATATTTAAAAAAACGCTTTTAAAATATTTTAAAAACATCTACAGTATATGCAAAAGGCGAATTTTTCAAGTGTAACAAGCATAGAAAACTTAAAAACAAATAAAATTTAATTTTTCTTTATTTCAATTATTTATTTATAATATTTCGACGATCCCACGCGCTTCAAAAAATTCTTATCGCTGTCAAAATTTTAAAAAATTACTTTAAAATGTAGATACAAAAAGTCGAATTCTTCAAGAAGTAAAGAAAATGTAAAAAGTAAATAAAATTTAATTAATTTTATTGAATTTTCTACATTTTAATCGCTTCTTTTTGTTGTTTCGACTTAATTTTCAATGTTTAAATGTACTCTTCTAGCCGTTCTTCATATAAAAAAATGCGATGCTTTATAGCAAATTTTCTTATAATAAACACTATAAAAAAATAATAAATTATTATGTTTTTCTAGCAAATATTTTGGGAGCGATTGAAAACAGTTCATTTGATTAAATTAGACGAACAAAAATTGATAGATAAGGTAAAGAGGATGCACAAAGAGACTGATTACTACAAGCAAGAGTGCTTAAGAGATATCATTTTACAGGTAAGAATATGAAAAAAATAAAATAAATAAATAATTTAACGATTTTTAAGGAGTTTCATGTAAAATTTAATAAAAAATCTCAGTTAGAATCGAAAATATACAACAAAAAACAATCCTTAACCACATTATCCAAAGTAATCCGTGAAGAATTCGAGCACTTTGAACAAACAAGATTAGGAGAATTCGAATCCGTGATTAATAAAAGACTGGAATCATTTGTGGGAACTCATCAACAGGTAAAAGTTTTTATAATTTTTCATAATTGAAGCTTAAAAAATTTTTTTAAATTAAAATTCTTCTTGTCTAGATGATTAACTATTGGAAAGCATTGCTACCAGAGGAACAGGGAATTGATTAAGATTTTTTTTTCTACTCCGTAAAAATACTCAGCAGAAACACAAAACATTCAAGTTAAAAGATTTATAAAGTGTAAAAATACACGAAATATTCCAATATTTAATAATATAAACAAAAAAACCGATAAAATTTACTAATCAAACTAATGGCCAGATTCTCTTTTGGGCTACAATAAAGCTAATTAATTGACTGAAATATTAAGCAATTCATCTGGAGGTAGGCGATTAGGTCGCCATCTCGTGTTAAAAATTCATAATATATTATTAATTAATTGGCCCGATATGAATCAGGCTTTTCGTTTGATTCCGATATTTGTTGATAATTATCGAATATTGTATATTTTAGAGCGCTTTTTGTATGGTTCTTCTACAAAATGTTGGCATATTAGCTGTGCTTCTTGGTGTTGAAGCATAATTTGTATGCAAATATATGCATAAAAAGTAGCTCTTGCTGATACTAGATTTATAGACAAGCTAAACCAGATACAGTCGAACCTCTAATAACGTCCACCTCCCAACAACGACAAATTTTTATGTTCCCATCAGTGGTTCGACTGTATACAGCCTATATTTCTAAGAGGCCTTTCTAGCTAAACTAAATTATAATAAATACAAAATATTTAACCTTATTATGATTTAGTACAGCTAGAAAGACCATATATATAAATATCTTGTTTAGATTACATGCAAATCTCGTCAGTATATTAGAGCCTTAATATATACATTAGGACCATAGACACATTTAATATTTAATAACTCAGAAAGGGCCTGTATGAGTATTTGGATCTCATACGGAGTCTGATTTGAACATAAGCTGCAGCCTGTTAGGACTTCATATTTTTATATATATCATTATTTCATAGAGGGAAAGGGCCTGTTATATGTTATACTGGTTGTGGCCCTAAGCTATAAGTTTATAATCTAACGCTAACTGATCATCTTATCATTTAGTAGTGATAAAAATCTTGTCATTTTACAGCTTAGGGTTGTGCCTTTGGGGAAGACCACCCTAAGCTGTAACTTAAGGTCACAACAAGTGTAAATTGGTTGCTAAAGATAAAGCACATTTTCAGCTTAATTTTTGTTTATTTTTCTCTTCCCAATTCCAGCTTTATCTTCAGGTCTAGGTGAAATAGCCAGAGCAACTGCATTAGTCGCAGGTTGTGAAGAGAACAATATCTTTTCACGACTATTGTATAAAGTTGCAGAAGCACAAAAGGAGACTGAAGAGTTACAACTTCAAGAGGCTGAAAGTGATTATGGAACGTTATACGAACTGATAAAAGATTATATTATCCTTTTAGATGTGGTCAAGGTAAGTAACGCGCTAAAAATATTAGGACAAAAGATGCTCTAGAACTTGTAAAGCTCTTTAATTTGGGTGCTTCGGTAATTTCAAGCGTGAATAAGAATGAATTTTATGTATTGAGAAACAATTAGAGGTTGGAAAAAATATATTCTCGCTGCTGGAAAATCAATAATATTCTTAGAAAAGTTCTAGTTTCACCTAAGTTTTATGAACCGGTAACGTGTTTGAAAAACTTATGACCTTATTGAGCTTTCTATAGCTACAAAACTAATAACCCGTTCATAACAGTAACATTAGTTTTATTTCTTCACATATAACACAAGAAAAATAATCTTCCAGATACAAAGAAAGACAAATCCTTCAAGAAGAAAGTATAGAAAATCTAGAAAAATAAAAATTTTAATTAATTTTACTACTACTTTTTCTACATTTAGAATAAATTTTCAACGTTTAAATGTATTAAAATATTCACTTTAGCTGTTATTTATATTTAAAAAAACGCTTTTAAAATATTTTAAAAACATCTACAGTATATGCAAAAGGCGAATTTTTCAAGTGTAACAAGCATAGAAAACTTAAAAACAAATAAAATTTAATTTTTCTTTATTTCAATTATTTATTTATAATATTTCGACGATCCCACGCGCTTCAAAAAATTCTTATCGCTGTCAAAATTTTAAAAAATTACTTTAAAATGTAGATACAAAAAGTCGAATTCTTCAAGAAGTAAAGAAAATGTAAAAAGTAAATAAAATTTAATTAATTTTATTGAATTTTCTACATTTTAATCGCTTCTTTTTGTTGTTTCGACTTAATTTTCAATGTTTAAATGTACTCTTCTAGCCGTTCTTCATATAAAAAAATGCGATGCTTTATAGCAAATTTTCTTATAATAAACACTATAAAAAAATAATAAATTATTATGTTTTTCTAGCAAATATTTTGGGAGCGATTGAAAACAGTTCATTTGATTAAATTAGACGAACAAAAATTGATAGATAAGGTAAAGAGGATGCACAAAGAGACTGATTACTACAAGCAAGAGTGCTTAAGAGATATCATTTTACAGGTAAGAATATGAAAAAAATAAAATAAATAAATAATTTAACGATTTTTAAGGAGTTTCATGTAAAATTTAATAAAAAATCTCAGTTAGAATCGAAAATATACAACAAAAAACAATCCTTAACCACATTATCCAAAGTAATCCGTGAAGAATTCGAGCACTTTGAACAAACAAGATTAGGAGAATTCGAATCCGTGATTAATAAAAGACTGGAATCATTTGTGGGAACTCATCAACAGGTAAAAGTTTTTATAATTTTTCATAATTGAAGCTTAAAAAATTTTTTTAAATTAAAATTCTTCTTGTCTAGATGATTAACTATTGGAAAGCATTGCTACCAGAGGAACAGGGAATTGATTAAGATTTTTTTTTCTACTCCGTAAAAATACTCAGCAGAAACACAAAACATTCAAGTTAAAAGATTTATAAAGTGTAAAAATACACGAAATATTCCAATATTTAATAATATAAACAAAAAAACCGATAAAATTTACTAATCAAACTAATGGCCAGATTCTCTTTTGGGCTACAATAAAGCTAATTAATTGACTGAAATATTAAGCAATTCATCTGGAGGTAGGCGATTAGGTCGCCATCTCGTGTTAAAAATTCATAATATATTATTAATTAATTGGCCCGATATGAATCAGGCTTTTCGTTTGATTCCGATATTTGTTGATAATTATCGAANTACTTCTTTTTTTGCAGAAAAAACAAATTAACATCTGTATAAAATCTCTTCACAGTAAACGAATTTTTCTACACATTCCCGTCAATTTTTAATTATTTTCTTATATATATATACTTTTTAATTGGTATAAAAGTTCTTCAAGTTATAAACAAGATTTGGCAATTATAAATTGAGTTTTTTTGGTTTTCAGAGTACTTTCCTCGAAGCTTCCAACTCGAAGGCAGCTTAAGCAACAATATTTATACATAAATCTGTACACGATATGATTGTGAGGCAGGTGTGTTGTCTAGAAATCCGTTGTTCATCCTCATGTCGTCTCCAACAACACGTGAAGTTTCGGGAGGAATCGTCCACTTTGATCACCTTTAAAGACGTCTAACTAATTAAAAATATGTATTTTTAAGTTAAATATTTAATTAAATTTAAGGAATTTTATGTATAAACAACTCACTCGTGCTTCTTTAGCATCCTGATGATCCGCATCAGTTTGGAGAGAGGGATGAGAGTAAGAGGAGCGCATGAAAGGAAAGGAAAAAAAAATTGATAAAATGAGATTTATATAGAAAAATCCATTGAGGAAAATTAAATTAATGACAGATGCCAAGTGAATTATTAATAAAACGACACAAATCTATTCGGGAATGGGACTATTAAACATGTGATATCTTCCAAACTGAATCACGTATGTCATACAGGCAATTAGTGAGGAAACGATCGTTAGGTTGACCGTGAGAGAAAACAGATGGACTGTCATGTATCATCACCATCCCAACAGATGTAGCAGACATAACAGATGAAATATGGAAATCCATACGATTACTAAAACCTCAATTTATAGAGTGTATCTGCCTTTTATCCTCTATCATTCTATTAAGAAGAGCTTATGATGAGATTCTGACAAACTTATTACAAGGGATTCATAGGGATGAACTATAGATAAATCTTTCACGGGGAGTCGATTTTGCATAAACTAGTTAACAGCATCCCTCCTCATCTATGCAGTTTCGAAAGAAATCCAGCCTTTTGGGGTCATTTTAACGTTATAAAATCTTACGTAAAGATAAATTAAATGATGAAAAAAGTATACTTACGTTATAGACATGGCTCCCTGATGGTGATGATGAACAGCGATAAAGTGCAGCGAGGACAGAGCTGTGACTTCTTTTTTTCTAGATAACGATGCATCCGAATAACATTGCAAAGTCTGGTAAACACTGGGAAGAAAAAAGATCGAATTAAATCAAAGTTTAAGATTTTCGGGAGACGTTTTAAGAGTTTTTAACACTGTTTTTACCTTCTATTTGCGGCCCTTTATGAGTTTTGGCCGCGATAACTTTTGTTTAATTATCTGGAAGACTATACGACTGCCATTTTTTCGATTTGGACATCTCGACGATCGAACGCTTTATTATTACATCATCTGGAAATAAATCTCCATTATGCAGCATCCACAAAGAATACAAAGAAACTGGATAATGGAGAAGAGATGAATTACAATTTTTTTTCCATTCTTACCTGCTTTACAAGGCACATAACTAAGGACGGTGATAGCTTTCTGGTATCTGCAGCTGAACAACCTCATTTGGCACTCGGAACCATAAGTTACACCATCCGATCCGCATACTGGATTTGGAGATTCCTCGGATGTACACTTAATATCGCATACACACTGAGCACGACCCTTTTTTTCTCGACATATCGCTTCGTGACTGCACTTTAACTGATCACACGATCCAGAAACTGGTCTAGCAACAGACTCTACAAGAAAAAAAAATTAAATTATATATATAATTGCTCCTCAATTCAGTGATTTTATTGAAAATAAGATAAGATTCTCTTTAAGTTTTGTTAAAGAAGAGAATCTTTTACAGTAAATACACATGTCGAGATCACACAAGAGCAGAAAGTAAACATAATTCTCCATTGTGAGATACAAAAGAAGCTTCCTTCTCGCTCCAACAGAGAAAATAAACATTCTTCTTCTTCTCCTTGTTTAAAAAAATGAGCAAATATTAATATATTATTCTTCTTATGCACAAAACATAGAAAGCTTTATAAATATAGAACAGAGAAATTAATCAATAAAACTATTCAGAAAAAGTATATACATCTTCAAATGAAATTCAATCGATCATTTGGTAAAGTTAGAAAACGTTCGGATGCTTTTTTAGAAAAAAAGGACATCATTCTTGTATTTTTTTATAGATTTTATTTTAGTTTTTTTCTTGAATAATTGCCTGAAAGAATGAATTATGGCTTCCCTCCTCTTTTGGTATTAATTTGTTCCACAACCAAGAGTTATTCCTCATTCGCCTTTCATAATTCAAAGAACTCTTTAACAAACATCGAAAAATTTACTATTCGTTGGATAAGGAAGGAAGAGGAAGAGGAGGAGGAAAAAAAATGATGCGATGGAAATTAATTTATGGCTATATACTGTACTTTCGAGAGAAACCTTTGGTTTAGCTTTTGGAATGTAAAAATATTTGAAAAAGTTGAAAGTTTTTTATCAACTGAATTTTCGCATTTTTATCAAACTGAATGTTGGCATTTTAATCAATTGATAAAGAATATTATTCTTTATTTTATTTTTTATACAACTAAAAGCATTTTATCAACCGCCTCTAAACATTTTTAGCAACTGAATAAAACTACATGCTTTATCTAACNTAAGTTTTTATATATACTTGCTAAACATTATCAATATTTTCTTAAGCACATTATTTAGCATCACACCAATATTTTATTTAATATCTTATCCATCTTCAGTATCATCTTTTCAACTCTTCAACATCACTCTTCAGAATCTTTTAAAGTTATATTTTCCTACTTTCCAGAAAAAATAATTTAAAAATTTTAAAAATTCCACATTTTTTCTTCTCTTAAGCATCACTTAAACTCTTAAACTTTTATAAAATACATCAGAGAATAAAAGCAAACATAGGATTTTCCAAAGTTTAAGTTGCTGATGCATATTCATCATCTGTTCTTTTTTCTTTGCTCTGTACTCATCAATTCTAAAGAAGTAGCATTTTCTAGACAGATGTACAAACAATTTATTAAATTATTATCAAAAGATAAATATCTGTTACTATTTAATTGAGCGAGGAAATAATAGTAATTAAAAAGTTATCTAGGGTTTTAAACAATATTTGTTAAGATTGCGATTAGCTGTTTAATGAACTTAATGCCAACTTGGGGGCAATTTAAATTCGCTATAGAATGAATGGCTACATAAGATAAGAGAAAACGATAAATTTTAAACTAAACGGGATGATGTTACTTGTATAAACTAATAGAATCGGACCAATTTGCATGAATTTGAATGCGTTTACAATAGTTTACAATATTAACCCATGTTGCAAATGTACTAGATAAGCAATTAGAGTAACTCTTGTAGTATATTCTGAATATTATTAGGATAAATTCGATTCCTCCTGAAGGACCTTCAACTTAGAAGAAAGTATTAAGTACAAATTTTAACATTTTTCTAACCTTTTTATGTATGCAAATACGAGATATTCTTCTACAAATTTTTTTAATATATAAATATATTTTAAAATCAAATAAGTAGTTTAAAATTACAAAATTTTCGATGGTAGTGTAACCAATTGAAATCCCAATACCACCTGAGCCGAGATGCTTGTGTGCAGACGTGCAGTTAAACAAGAATTTATCGATTATGGTTATGGTAAGAGTAAACTTTCTGCATGCAAAATTCTATTAATATGCAGTTACAGATAAAAAATTCATTGGTTTGTATTGATCCGAATCCCTCATGAATCTTTCAGTAAACATTCAAAATATGCAAATGAGATTTTGAGTTATTAATCTCTTTACTACTAAGTCACCAATTAAAAATTGTATTGTGACTCTCCATGACATCACGCAATGATCATACGGTGCCATATCACGAATTGTATTTTGAATTGTATCTTTAAAAATAATATACAAATTTATAGAATTAAAATGCACGATACATACTTTAATTAAGTATAATTTAGCGTGGTAAGGAATTATTTAAGCCAATGCCATTTTATCCAATGGTCAAGATGAAGGATGCTGCATGTATAATTGCTGTTTTTAAATTAATTAAGCAATCCAATCGTTAGGTTATTTGTTAAAGAAATTAAACGTTAAGTATAGAACTCAAAGAAATAAATATTAATATAAAAATAATCAATTATTACTGCTGTAATTGGTTGCGAAATGCAGTTTTCTCCGACTTGTTGCAGGGTAATTTCCCTAGGGGACTTTGGATAACTCTTCATTATCGCTTGCGTTGGCAAGAATTTCTCTAACGTTTACAAACCCGTACTACAAAATTACGATTACGTCAACGCGACAATTTAACCGAAGCTCATTTTCATCTCGCTCTCTCTCCCTTTCTCCTACTATCTAACAAAACTTAATTATGTTAGTCTGGAGACCCCAACGTTCGGTTTGCTATTTATCGCCCATTGATGCTATTATTTGCAAGGACATTATTAGCATTTTACTATCTCTCGAGGCTACACAACGAGTTTAATTTGATATAATAGCTTCACTGTATATAATTTTTCTCCATTAAATAATTAACTTTGTTTATTATCATCTTTACTGATAATTTATCCCCTATGGTTGTGTTTAGAGTTTTATACGTTTGCACGCTTATAAATGTATAATTTGCAGTTGTAAGCGTGTAAAGATGCCTTTTTCTATTCAATTTTTGTCGGAATTTTGTTACTAAATACTCGTTTTAACAGAGCAAAGAGCAGTTTACTGATAAACGTACCCCGTACTTCGCTCCTACACTAGCAACCAATAAATGAATCTAACCTTTCTCCGGGCTATATTTATTTAAATTTTCTGATCTTAACAAAGTTATGACAATCAGCTACACGTTTATATTATGTTCCTTTAACAGGATTTTATCTCTTATTGCCATAGAAGCGGCAAAACGGATCGGAATTCGATCGCTCCTCGTCATCCGCAGCATCGAAAAATGGCAATTAAGAAGTCATTAATTAGTTTTTTAAAGTTAAATTTTCAAGTTTTATCCATTTATTCCGGATATTTTTTTTAAAAAAGGAAGAAGAAGAAGAAGTTAGATATGTAGAATTTTTATATTGTGATAGATACACATTCCATTTGCTCCGGCGCTTCTCTTTACAGAATACCAAAAAGATCCAACGATAATCGAGGATCATTGAAACGTGACGTTATAGTCGAACGTCACGTAACGTTAACAGTGTGAACTAACGTCACACAGCGTGTCTTCACACACAAAATTTTACGTTGCTTTTAAATATCTCTCTTTTGAAGAAGTGGATAGCGTGAAAGCAATATTTTCTAACGTGTCAGTTCGTTCTCTGTAAAATTGTCTCTGACAGACGAATAAAAATAAGGGGAGAATAAACTAAAATAAAATAAAATAAAGAAATATTTATATATCATCTTCGATTCTCTTCTAACATTGGACAAGATCCAATTTCGATATCAGATTTTTCAGATACTTTTAATGCATTATGTAACTTGTTCCTCCTTAAGAGCATCTCCTAACTTTAGTGGTTTTAATGTAGGCCATTGCAATACTTGTACTAAATACAGGCTTCAGTTTTCTTAGAATTTTAAAATTTTACAATCTACATAAAAAATTTTAAACTTACACAAGCATAAAAATGCAAATTTTTTCCACCCAAAAATCCACTTTAAACACATAAGATAAATAGGTAAATTGTTGATACTGAGCTAAAAATAGCAATTTTTAAGGCGGATACAACCCTTTAGAACGTTAGAAAACGTAATAATTATTCTTCTAAATATATAATTATCGAGTTTTATGAAGTAGCTTCTTAATATTTCCCTCTATTCATGTCATTAATCAATATTTTTCTTCTCTTGTTTTCATCGTCTTCTTTATATCAAAGCTGTGTTATGCATTACTGAGTAAGTCAACATGTTATTCTTTCATATTTCTTTTTTTTAGAAATTTATCATAGTATTTGCTTTGCTTTCTTTGATAACATATCAATGTAGTTGTCATTCGCACTAGTTTATAAAATCTATTGCAACAATCAATTCTGAAACTAGAAGAGATCTTCAGCATCTTCCAACGTCTTCCATCACTTGACGGATGTCTATGCATTAGAATCTCATGTTTCTTATAAGAATTCCTCAGAAATTAGAATTTAAAAAGTGAAAGTTAGATTTATAATATGAGAATGGGAATTTTTTTTTTCCTTCCTCTCCTTCCTCCTGATTTTTTAAAGGAGGAAAATATGATCTCGTAAATACTTTCCCTTTCTACTAAAGTTATAAAAATAAGTTTAAATCTGAATTTTATCTAATATAACTACGTAATTATTTATACATTGAATGTGTTTTTTATATTTATTCTTTTAAAATGTAAAAGTTTTTCTTTATTTTGAAAGGAAAATGTAAGTAAAATTTGTATTTTTTTCGGCAATTATGAAGGGTGTAAGCTGGTATGCTGTGGAGATGGATTCTTAAAAATTTAAAGAAATATTCTGTAAGAAATTCTCCAGAAATGTTACATAAATCCCTAAAGGATTCGCTTTCCAGAAATCCCTAAAAACATTTTACGGAAAGATGGAATTTTCTTAAGTTCTCCAATAGAGATATCCCTTAAAAAATTCTTTTTAAGTTAACCTAGGTGTATTCTCTTTTGAGAAATCTCTAAAAATAATTACAGTATAGGGAAAGTTTCTTAAATTCCTTAATAGAAATCCCTAAAAATCAATTTTTTAAGATTCTTTAATAGGGGAAGAACAGAATAATTTCCTTGGATTTCGTTGAATTCGTTAAATCCCTAATAATTCCTAAAATTGAGTTAACCTAGAAAAATTCTATCTTGAAAAAATCTCTGAAAATAATTACAGAGTAGGGAAAATTTAAAAATTTTTTAAATAAAAATTCCTGAAAACCTTTTCTTAACTGTTTCTTAATAGGAAACTTTACTTTAAAGAATTTAAGGAAACAATTATTTCCTTAAATTCTTTAAATTCCCCAATTCCCTAAAAATTTCAATTTTGAATTAATCTAGAAGTATTTCTTAGAAACGTTTAGAATAATAGGCGAGGAAATTCCTTAATAAAAATCCCTGAAAATCGTTTTTTTAAAGATTTCTCATACAGAAACTATGAGATAAAGTATTCTCCTTAAATCTCTTCACGAGATAAATCCCTAAAAATCCGAAAATTCCTTAACTTGTTTAAGAGATAAATCCATACAGGAATTTCTTTTCGAGAATTTTCGAAAGAAAAACTATGAAATAGGGATATTTCCCTAAATTTCTTATATAAAAACTCCTGAAAAGGAAATTCTAACTAAATAATTCTTCAAATTTCCAACAGCATTCACACAAAACATCCCTAAAAAACTTTAAAATGATTTTTTTTCCTCTAGGGAATTTTCTTATTTAATAATTTTCTCATACATATAATTTCGTATTTACTTAATCATTGATAAATTAGCCTTAAAGAAAAACAAATTTACATTATTTCTTAAAATTCCTTTTCTAAGAGCAAATTAACTAAATTCATATTCGGTAATTCCCTAGCTGAGAATTAAATTCGATAATTTCCTAAAAGGGAATTTATTTTCCATAATTAAGAAAAATATTTAAAAGAAAATGATAGGAAAATACCCTGTTAAGGTAATTTAAGGAAAATTATGGGGAATTAGAGTAAAATTTCTTTAAAAGAAATTAATTTTCTTAAGGTGTTAATATGATAATTAAGAATATTTTGTGAAATTTTAAAGTGAAAGTTCTAATTTATTAAGGGAAAATAGATTTTTAAAAAATCCCTAAAAACTTATAAAATATTTTATTTAAACTTTATTTAGAATAATTTTATGACGTTAAATAATTCAATATTTTAAAAATAAGAATACAGTCGACTCGCCAATAACGACCACCTCCTAACAACGGCCATTTTTTAATGTTTTTGTCAATGGCCGTTGTTCAGAGGTTTGACTGTCATACGTATATTTTAATGTAGAAAAAAATGTTGCTTAAAATATTCTTAAATGCAAAAAATTCTGGAATAGTTTTAAGATATTTTTTAATTTAAAATAAATTTTTTTTAAAAATTCTTATATTAATCACTATTATTATTATACAGTCAAACCTCTGAACAACGGCCAATAACGGGAATATAATAAAATCGTTATTGTTGGAAGTGGCCGTAGTTTGGAGGTTATTTTGTATGATTTTCTCCACGTGTCTAACATCTAAACAGTGGCCATTGTTACATCGCCCACGTGTTGCTTTGTCTTATGCTATCAAACCATATTTTCTCTTAATTATAACTTATTATAAATATATTTTAAACGGTTTTACTCTTCAATTAAATGGTTTAAACTGTATTTAACTGTAATTACCATCCTTTTTTTTCTTTAAAAATCCCCTTTTAAAGCGAAAGCACATTTTAAATTCGAGATATTTCTTAAATCGAGGTATTATTTGCCACTACAATTGTCTGTATGTAATGAAAGTTTTATAATATTTTATATTTTTTTACTTAATTATACTTTTTACTTTGAAATAAATTTCTTCAAAGTACATGTACTTCGAATAATTACCTAAATTTTTCCTAAAATTCCTTCCGAAAGTGAAATTTGGGGGTTAAAAGCAATGCTGTACAGCACGGGTGTCCAACCTTTTTGATTCTCTGGGCCACATTGGAAGATGTCATGGAGTTTTGGGCCACAAGTATATTATATATACTTGTGATCCAATCATTAAATATACAAGTATATTTAAGGATTAACATGTGATAAACAGATTATAATGCGAACCAAAATTTTGGCAAAACGCTGAATAATGCAAATTTTTGTAGGACATAGAAAAGAATTTCATAATTCGGACTGTCAGTTTTCAAGCAGAATTGCTTATGGAAGAAATACATTTGATGGTTTAGTAATCACGAAAGAGAATATTAATAAGTATTAAATATTTATCACGAAAAAGGATATTTTAAAGAATTATTTCTACAGACACTTTCAATTTTTACTTAGAAATAGATAAATTCATTTATTATAAAGGAGACAAACAAAAATTTACTTGAAAAACACAAATATTTGTTTTATTTGGGTCTCTAATTAATAAAAAAAAATAACAAAACACATTTTAAAGTGCATTTTTATTCGACTAATATATTTATAAATAATATGTAGCCCAAAAAACAGCCAATGCGACGAATGATATTTTTTACGCTAAACTAAAAAAGGGTAGTCAAATTTGGCGCAAAGTAGCCAAATCTTGCAAAGCTGGAAGGAATACTAAATAAAGCTGGAGTTGAGACTCAAATGATTATAGACCCAAATTCGGGAGAAAGGTGAGAAAGACCAAAAGATATAAAAAAGTGAGAAAGGTTGGAAAATTAAGGATCACTATTTCCATAACAGAAGGTCTATTTAACTTTTCTCATTACTTTTTATCTTTTGGCCTTTCTGTCCTTTCCCCGAATTTGGGTCTATAATCATTTGAGTCACAACTCCAGCTTTATTTAGTATTTCTTCCTCATTTACACATTTTTAAGTACAGTCGACCCCCCTATAATTACGGTCCCTATAATTACGATTCCTATAAAACTACGAAAAAATATACGTATTTTGGAAATGTTGAGTCGAATTAGTGTAGAATCGATTAATTTTATGGAAGAAAACCTTTCAATCAGCCGTAGTCCGTAAATTTGACACGTGTTGGGCTGTGATTAAAACGACTTGTAAGAAATCGGATTCCTAATAAATTGGAACGTATCTATATCTTATAGGGGGGTCGACTGTAT